TCGATGTTTATCTTGGCTTTAAATATATAACCACCACCTTCAAGGATGGAGTCGGAACCTTCGGCAAACGATAAATGTACTATAAACTCTCGTTCTTGTTGACTTTTATGAACATCGATAGAGGTGTATTTTCCACCTAAAGCGAAATACAGTTTTACGTATTCAAAGTCTGTTGTTCGTAAAAACTCGTGACTGCTCGATTCTATTGGCCCGGGTACGTATACGGGCATTATAAATGGAATTTTGACAATGTTGGTTAATGGTGGATTTTCCGTCTCCAATATCATATCCAAATCTTTGATTCCAATGATATCCTTATCATTTTCTACTTCCATTTTAAAGGTGTCTACATATTTACCATTTTTCGTTTCAATTTCCTGATCCCTTTTATCAATCAAACGTATATTCTCTTCCAAATTACCATCATTGAATAATGAAATATGTTTGACGCCCTTACCGGTTTGTTTGAAGACTACTTTATTGACTTTAACCTTCATGGGAAACTCTATTTGAATCAGATAATTACCTCGAAAAGAAAACTCTTGCGTTTCGCCGATATCGAATACGCTTTTTTAGGTTCACCGTATGCAAGAGAACCCACTTTTATTTCTGCTTTGAATCCGTATTTGTTTGATTTATAAATTTGGTCTTTTCTATCAAAGACAGTGTCACTTTCGAATGGTAGATTGAAATAATACGATTTGTCCGTGACAATAGCTTCTAATTTGCTCAACTTTCTCTCTTGTCTCAAAAAATCGTCATGAATTCTAGATACCAAAAGATTGACCTGTTCTTTAATATAATTTTTCATATCATCTCGAAATTTATTTTGAAGAAAGTTTTTAATCACACCCACTTCTTTTTCTAATTCGTCCGTGATTTTAGTATCCAAAGCAGTCAATTGTTGTTTCAACGTATCTTTGTCAATGGGAAGTGTGTTAATTATATCTTGAACATCTGATTTTTGCTTCGCGATCTTTTCGTTCAAATTGGATATCGAATTTTGTAACTCGGTTTTGTCCGCGGTCTTGTCTAGTTCTGCTAGCAATTCGCCAAGTTTTCTTTCCAAAGCGGTTAGTTTTCGTTTCAATCTATCCTCGTTTACATTTGGGTTGTCTATTAAACGTTGGACGTCTATTTTTACCTTCGTAATCTTATCTTCTAATTTAGATATTAAATTTTGCAACTGACTTGTTTTATCCACTTGAATAAGACGTTTCAAACTCGTTAACTCTTGTTGCAGTTTGGGTTCGTCCACAAGATTTTTAATATTTCGTCTGTTGAATCTTTTCACGTCATTTATTCTATTTTCAACATGGTCCTTATCTATTTGAATTGCGTTTATTTGATCCAGTAAATATTTCTTGTTCACGGCATCGTTATCGTTTCCTGGAAACTTTAAATTAGTTATTTTGAAATTGTTCATATCGATATCCCCTTGTAAGGTGTCTCCGATTTGATCCACGAAAAAAGGTTTCGCTTTGTTTATAAACGCCGTAGAACTCATGGGATTTTTAGATTCTAGAGGTAAAGACCATAATCCAAACTTGTTTGCCATTTTTATTGAGTTAAATTTATTATAATTTCTTCAAACTTTTCTCCCAAACTCAATCGATATAAAACCCAAAGCGACAGCTGTCCACACAGCTTTTGTCCTGGCATTTGAATTTGAAACGTAGAACATTTGATTGGTTTGCTAGTTAATTTCGTTATTTCTTCTGTCGGTTCTAGACCGAAAGAATCAAAGAAATAAAAGTTATTCGAAGAATCTTTGTGTAAAGCAGAGTGATGAACTCCTTTTTGATCCGACGTGTGAATGTTTGTGATGGCGTAAAATTTACCTTTCTTGTATTTCAGTTCATCAATTTCATCTCGCATGCAATAATAAAACGGCGAGACGTTCAACTCCTTGGCCCATTTCACAAGTTGAAAGTTTGTGGTCGTGTCTTTTCCGTATTTATCGAGAAATGCATTCATTTTTTAATTTGATTTTTTTGAGGTGTTTTTCGAAGTAGGCGGAAAGTATTGCTGAAGACCCAATTGACGAAATATATACGTAGTGTGTGTTTGAAAAAACTTGTATAACATTCTGATAAAACACATTCAATAATATTTTGAAGATAAATTTACATTTAAATTTAAAAAATCTTAATTTAAGAGAGCGTAAATGCTTGTCGACATCTAAATTTCTTAACCTTTCATCTAAATCTTCATTTTCGAGATTCATTTTTAAAAGTCAGTTTTTTTAAGTTCATTTTGATAAAGCCTTCCTATGATTTGTTCTTTGTCTTGATCGATCAATTCATACGTGGGAGGTGATGTGTTGTTTACTTTATCAACGATGAATATCTCGTTAGTCCAATAGCCGACGTAACCTTTCTGAAACAATGATTTATATTTAAAAATACGAACTCGATCTCCAACTTTGAATCTGGGTTTAATATTCAAATTGCTAATCTCGTTTTCAAAGTTGTTTCGAGTGTTGACGGACTTTATGATATTGGGGTTATTAGAGGCTTGGGATGGCGTCACACCTATAGACGAATGTATTTTGTTATTGTATTCGTCGACAACAACTGGTAATATTCTAAGCCATTTTTGAGATTTCAATTCCGTGAATTTCTTGAATAATTTGCTTTTAAGAGTCCTGTTGAATCTTTCTATCACTACGGTTTTACCTTCGTTATGCGTGCTGTAAATTTCAAACCCCAGAGATTTCACATTTCTCTTGTAGAATTCGCTTCCTTTATCAACCCACAACTTTAGGGGTCGTCTGTCGGATTGTTTCATTATGGTTTCGAATGCTTGTTTGACAATCAGACCCGATTTGTTTTTCAAGGGAAAGACCCAAGCGTATATCGTGTATATGTCGATCACCGTCAAACAATACTTGTACCCTCTCTCGACTGGCATGTTGATTAAATCGGCTGACCAAATTTCATCTTTATCAAAAACTTTGACTTTTTGAGGTAATGTTTGTTTTTTCGAAATTCTTTGTGAATCTCGTCTGCTATGCCCATACCCAATTTCAATTTTGCCTTCAAGAGTTTTACGATAAGAGCCCTTTGTAATTTCTCTTTGAAAGTGGGATTGGGAATATTTTCGAGTTCGTCTATCATTTGTTTGATAAAGACGAAAGAATCATCGTCGAAACGTCGCAAGTTATTTATTAAAGTAATTGTTATCCATATAATTGTGTTCGTGTTAATATCATTTGTTTGTCTGCTTGGTGTCTGAATGTTACGTCTTTGTTTCTGTACAGTATGTCGTGTTTGAGTGCTGCTGCGTCAACTCTATTAACGGGTTCTTCCCCTGGTTTGGGATTATCATTTTCGTCTAAACGCAGATCTAACCTAGTGCCTGGACCTGTATAATTGTGCCCTGGGAGATGTTTTTCTCCGGGATATTTTGCCCATGGGAATCCAGGAAGAGAACCCAATGACTTTTGAATGTCTCCCGCACCGAAATACGTTTTAGGAGGATGGACATTTATTAAAGACATATATTTTTGATACGAAAGATTTAATACAAGGAGGAAATTTGTTGTTTGAGACAAAATTGGCTACTTTGGGGATGAGAGATGTTAGCGCAGAGAAGAAACCGTCTCCTTCGAATTTTTTTGTTCGTGTTTTAAAATTAAAGACATTTTTAATGCGCTTATTTTATACTGTATTATTTTTTAGTGATTCTTGTCTGTGGTTTGGGTAATTTATATGGAGTCTGTTATAATACAGTTTGGAGGAGTCTGTTATAATACATTTTTAACAGTTTGGGGAGTCTGTTATAATACATTTTAACAGTTGTGTCTTTTCGGATATGACGCATTGAAAAAAGCTGCGCATGCGCAGAAGTGAAAATACGTCATATCCGAAAAGACATATACTACTACCACGGATTGAATGATGACGATTCACGAGACCCATTATTGGAATACCAACAACAAGATGATGGTAATATTGCACCACCTGAACCTCGTAACCGTAGACGAAATCCAAGATATTTTAATGATGACTTTGTAAACTAAATTAATTTTACACGTGTTTTTTTTTTTTCTTCTTTTTTTTTTATAACGTTAGACCTTTTTTTCTTTTTTTTCTTATAAGGAAGGGGTATGGTATTATCCTTTATGATAATATTATCTGGCAACACTGCATCTGATATTGAAAATGTATGCTGGCAAGAGGGGGCTGCGTGAGTGATGGACCTTGGCTTGGAGTGGAAACAGATATCCTATAAATAATATCCTATATATAGCTCAGTGAGTGGAAACTATTGTTATTTGAAATCATTCATAAGTCTATGAATCTATACATTAGTCTAATTTAAACATGAATAAAACATTTATATTCAAATCAGCTTATTATATGTGATTTTTCAGTTATCGGTGCTGCTACGCGTCTAAACCCAGCAATGTATTATAAATGATAATTATGTCGCTCGTTTCTAGATGTCATGGAAAACAAGCCACTTCCAAGATACTGTCCATCGTGAGTTAAAGCATGCCCCACTATTATGAAAATTGATCAGAAATATGCCTTGCGGGCAACAAACGGCAACTGTAGAGAAGTATTAAAAGGGAGGCAAATATAATATAATGTACTAGAGGAGAAATATTCCAATTCAGTTTCCAAATCAATTCATACCGTCAAGCACGTGATTGAAAAAGTGGAATTGGTCACAAGCCAAAATCAAGACGACTTTGCAAAGCATTTTTTTCACTGTAATACGTGGAATTTTTTAATTAATGATGACCAAGAAGCCTACACGATAGCACCAAAATAAAAATAGGTACATATGCGTCAATAATGCATTTATGCATGTTCGTGTTTTCCTATTTCGTCCATGAAGATCATTGATACAGAATATACAGGCTTATCTAATTCAAGGTACCAATTAACAAACTGACTTACAACCATCATGTTTGTACTTTAATTGGAATTGAAAGTCTTTCTAGTCTTTTTTATAAAATCGAAAGGTCCTGTTGAACTGTACCCAGCAGAGACATCACAGCACCCTGTATAGGAAGCAATTGTTTAGAATTAAAACTCAATAATTAGAAATACTGCTGTATTTTAAGCATCACATCTGGAAATATACATAATCTACATATAATAAGTTTATACACTGCATCTTATTGAATATACAAATTGATTGCAACAGAGACAATAAATCTATCACTTTAAAACACATGTCATTGATCAAGGATATACAAGTCAAGCCAAATGGAACCCTTAATTCAGCAGACTGGGATTCTCAAGAATAATTAGTGGGCAAGAATTGAGTTCTCAAAAAATATTACACCCAACAATATGTCAAGGGTCATCGGTTTTAATTAATAACTAACAACATGATTTATTAATTGCCAAAGTGAAAGATATTAGCAGAATGTGGAGTTTAGTGATGAAAATTTTGTCTGCTGTATCAAGGGATGTCATTTAACTGACTCACAGACCCTTCATAAAGCAAGATGTGTTAAATGGACAAGTTGAGCAAGCTACTACTATACATAACTTGATATGATTTAACAAGAAAAAAACATAATTTACATTAGTATGAGCCACTCTGAGGTATTAATATTTTGGTGGAATAGTAGGTATTTCCCTATCAAATAGTCACAGACGGTCAATTGCTTTCATAGAGCTTTTTACAACAAACAACAAATTTTATCAATTTTCACACTTTTAATGTTATTTATCTAGTTAATTTATTATGGATATCTATTAATAAACCTAATTGTACAAAGTTTTAGTGAATGCATGCCTTCTATTTCAGAATTATGATCACAAGTCCTCTACTGCTCTCTTAATTATGGAAAGGTTACCTTATTAACATGTAACATCATATAGAACATCATGAGACAGAAATTGTCATTATAGTTGAGGTATTTATATTCAAGATAATACCATACCTAATTCTTCATACCAGAACAATACTACCACTCTTACAACCAGCTGTTTTGGTGGTAGATTTATGTTATTATCATGTGGAAAATTAGTCTGTTTCATTAGTCTGTTTCTGACTCAACTATATCACAATAACATATATATATATATATACATAGTTCATCAATAACAACTTCATTAAAATAATAACAAAAATAACAACATCAATAAATAATAACAAAATAACAGAAGCACCTGTTTAATGTCTGTAATATTATGATATTATAGGAGAGAATAATAGAAATAACAAAAAAGAAACAGTGTATTATGTTTTGATCCTAGTTACATTCAGTGAATTAAGAAACTTTTTGGTTGTAAGATATTCTGTTTTAAAAGATCTGACAATATTGGAATTGTAAGAAATTCATGATTTACAAACTAAGTAACCTAAGACAATATAATAAATTTGGCATATCATTGCCAGATACACATAATAATAATACACTATGAAAAATCAAAAAAATCAAAAGTGGAATGTGCAGAATAACACATACCTGTTAAAATAATATATATAATGTAAGAATGAAAAGCTAAGATTCGATGTATGAAAATTAATTGCAAACATGTCTACAAAGAAATGCACAGAAACAAATCAACCAAAATATGATCTGAACAGTACAAAAAAAGTCAAATGTCACTCTGAATGTTTGGAAAAAAGAAGATTTGGTTTAACATGTTTTATTATGACCTGCCTACTAACAAACAAACTAATTGAAATTAGATTTAAATTTTGTTTCATATTTTTTTGGGGTCTCTATTGTAATCTAATGATATTTAAACCATGGTTGCGTACTAGTGGTCATGCTACAAAGTATTTATAGCAGTCAGTTCCTTTTTAGATTACAATGGAGACTGTAAAGAATAATAATACTAACAAAACAAATGTGAATGTAATGTTAATTAGATTGATTTAAGACAGGCTATGTCAAGTCATGTTAGTTTAATAATATTATTGCACATCAATTAGTATCTTAAAATTCCACCACGGTAATAACCTAAACAATCAATTTATAGAATAATGTTTCATTGAGTTTAGCTTTTGGGTATTTTAGGTTGATTTCAATTCCAACTGTCCTCATCATGGGTTTTATGTCAGAAATTTAATCTCCAGAAAATGGAAGATCTCCTAAATATAACTCACTATAAGTATATGACAAATCAAATAGTACATCCAAAATACTTTTCTACTAAACTTGTACCATACATTAATACAGAGTTCTATCCCTTGAAATATATTCTCTGAATATTTTATGCCTTCAGACCATCACTGCTCTTCAGTTCGGATGAGCTTGACTTTGTCACTTAAACTTAATGTTAGAATAATGTAAAGGGCATCATGTCATTCAACTTTTGAAGGTTCGCTACATACTGGTAAAATAAATTAATGTCTTTTGAAAGTTTCCATAACAAAATTTGTGTGCAAGATAGAATAAGTGAGATATTTGTAGATATTGTTTCTAGAGCTGGAAAATGAACCCAATAGAGTCACTGATAATACAAAATATACACACTGTTCAAAATATTTTGACAAATCTTCTGGTTTCAATTGATTTTTGGCCAGGTTTTACTGTATTGAAACAGATTATAATAAGTAAAGAGTATAAGAAGTAAGTGGTGGGTAAGTTAAGTCAATCTATGATGTAGGTAATTCAGGACTTGGTGAACTACGAACTTGAAGATAACATGGTTTACAAACAGGTACTGGACGTCGAGAATAATGACCAGGTAATGGAATGTTTTTAGTTATACAACGACCACAAAATATTTCACCACATTTCCAACAGTGGAACTGAAAATATACAAAAATTAATTTTAAATAAGTTTCAGTCACCTGAAATGTATTTTTTTTCTTTGCCATTTCCAGCAATAGATGAATTCAATACCATTAAAAGGTCACTTAATTTTGGTGTGTATAGCAGAACCAAGAATGCATTATTTGCTATAAAAAATCTGTAAATCCTTATATTAATAATTCAAACTATATTCAACATCATCAGTAATATTTTCTAGAACCTGCTACATTGTGGCTATTATCAATGTTAACAATAACCAGACATAAATATAGCTTACCTTTTTCACATAATGATCAAAAGGAGCAGCACAGGTACAATTATAAACTCTACGGAATGATCTCCAATCAATAGCTACTGTTTTTAACTCAGAGACCAGTTGATCAATGGTTAGTAAGTCAGTACTGGGAGATCCTAGAATCAGACTACTTTCTAACGTAGCATCTCTTTCTTCTACATTCGACCTTGACATTAGAGAACTACCTTCATCAAAGCCTGACTCGGTATCACTTTTAACAGTTGAAGGTTTGACGTCTGGTAAATGTCCGTTAGATAAAGTTTCTAAATCGTCTGTATTGTCTGTAGTATTATACACCGGGTCATCATAAGTTTCTTGACGAAGAAATTTTTGTGGAAGAGCATTGTTATCAACATGGTCAGCTAAAATACCATCTAATGAATCAACAGATAAAAATCCTTGAAGCTTCCGTTGTATTATATCATCAGATTTTCCTAATAATTTACATATTTGTGTCACTCTCTACAAAAAAAAACAAAATTTGTCATCAACACACTAATCAAAATTACAATCCAATCTTCAGGTTGTCCTAAAATTTATCAAAAATGCATAACTCTAAGGTTGTACTAACACTTGCAGTTGTTTCAACATAGTTAGTACTGCCATTTTAAAATCAAAGTATGACTGTATGTGTGAGGAAAGGTGATGATATTGTGTCTGGTAAAGCATTTCTATGAAAACCATAGATACCATGTCGAGATATTTTCAAGAATCTACATGAGAACAAGAACAAATACATAAACATGAAATAAGTCATACCTTTTCTAATAAAGCTACATGATCCTCTAGTGAGTTACTATGATCTTTATTAGCTGATAATATATCCATCACTGGTTCACGGGGATGTATTCCATTCTCAAATCTATTATATAAACCTCTCCAAAATCTACAAAACAATAAGTATATCTAGTGAAATATATTTTAACACAGGTAAAAGTACAAAAATGAATTGGTGTCGAGAATACACAAAACAGGTTAATTGCAGTTAAAAACAAAATGAAGTGTAAAATTTATTTATAACCTGTAAAATAGAGTAGAACAGAGAGTATTTCTTTGGAACAAGCTTGCTCACAACATGGTAAGAGATTGCTATTTCTATTCCTTCATCAAACACACCCATTTAATCAAGTAGAAGTACAAAACTGTACACCATGCACTGTTAAATTCAGACCAATTTGCATGATTGCCCACTCCTTAATCATTTAATAGATTTTCAAGCTGAAGAACTGCATTCCAATAAAAGAAACTTACTTGAAACATTGTGGACTAGTATTTGGTATTAATATAGAATGTGTCAGTTCATATTCCTTTTTAAATAGTGGATTACTAAATTCATTGATATGTTGAGCTACATATCCCCATAGTGAGTAGGTTCTTTCTGACAGTCTGCAATAATAAACATAATATTTAATAGGTTAGTATGTAACTGATATAGTTCCATAATTATAATAATAAAATATTTTCACTGTAAAAAATAGTGATCAATACATCAATTGTAGAGCGATATAGAAATATTAAAACAGAACTTGAATCACATTGTTCCATAATTAGATTAATGCCATAGATTGTCATTAATTTATTGCTTAAACCAGAAAAAAAGAGCTCAATACAGTAGTTTGTATATATATATTGAAATGTCAAAGCAAGGTCAGAATAAATCGATCTCTCATTAAGTGGAATACGAAAATACTTCACTAAAGTTTTAGATCAATTTATCGTATGACTGACCATTGATGGTGTTATGTAATCCATAAAATATAGCCACTTTATGAAATTGTGAGTTCAAAATTATAGCAATACAGTGTAAATTAACAGATTTTATAATCAATTTACCTTAAATCTATTCTATCTTTCTCACAATTACCAATAAATGTTCCAAATTGACAAGAATAAACATGATCATGTATGGCTATTAAAAATCTCTCATTAAATTGAAAAGCACAGGGAAACTGTTGAGAAATCTGCCACACTGACTCCAAAAACTGGGTGAAAACTGGAGAATTTTCTTTACTATCTACAGTGCTTAAAAAACCACATCTATCTGTAAATTTATGACCAAATGCTAACCATTCTTTCTCTATTAATGCCTACAAATAGAAAGACAAATTAAGCTATTTAGAGCTGGAATATAAAAAACAGAAACCTTATTTATTCATCCATTTGCAGCTAAGGATGTTTGTTAATTGATTTCATGTCAAGGTCTATGCAGTCAATGTTTTCAAGTATCCTGACATATACAAAGCATTTGTTCCCATGAACTTCTGAACTATTGTTAATCATCTTGTATGATCCACCTTATTCTTGAAAACTTTAGATGGTAATGTGATTGTTTTCTATTATTGAATAACACCTACCTGAAAGCCCTGTATAGTTCTATAATAAGGATCTAACATTAAAGATGCTAGAGAACAAGTTTGTGCTGTTCTGTCCCATCCATCAGAACAATGAACTAATACATTGATACCTTCCTGTACAGCCTAAAATATAACATTGTATAAATACTCAATACATCAACAACCAGCATCAACAACTAGCATCAGAACCCAGTAAATGTGTAAGTAACAATCTAAAATTCCATTAACAGTTTTTCCATAATAAAATATGCATTAAAATTTGATTGGGACTCATACTGAGACAAAGAATGGGCTATTGATGATGGACATCCAAATACAGTGTTCAATAAGGGGAAATTTGCCTTGTAAGTGGCATAACCCAACTCTATTTCTAACTATTGAGGATTTTTTTTATCAAATGTAGCACAGAAGACCTTTGTTTATTGTCTAATTCAAACCTTTTCAAATGTCAGCCCCTCCAACCTGCATCACTAACAGAAGGTCATTGGGGTGAAAATTGAGGAATTTAACTTTGTTAAAATCGAAACTTGAACCTTAAGATTAGCAATAACGCTTCTACTCACTGAGTCATACCAGATACAAAGCCTGAAATATTCTAGTGCTTTGTAATATTTTCTACTTACAGTGGCTATAAATGCAGAAGTATCAACTACAGCCTTTATATGTTTTAACCAGTTACTGTTTTCTAATCCAGTTAAAAAGGAATTCATTGATGGTGACTTTAATTCACAAACTAAAAAATATTACAGATATAATTACAATTGAAAGTTAAAACTTTTATTCTTGGTTTCAAAATGTTACAGGGTGGAAATTGTAAAACTGAATAGAAGTTACCACAATGTTTGGCTTATATCAGCAGTCTGAATTGATCTTACTGTGAACTTACCTTCTAATAATTTCTGTAGACTACCTCTCATAACATGTATATTTTCAATTCCTAAAAACTGGAACTTTATATTAGAGTAGAAGTTCTCATTTTCATAGCCTTTTCCTGCTGCTTTATTAGCCATTGCATTGATCTAGAAATAAAAAATAAATATTGTTAAAAATATCTATAACAAACAAAAATACATAGTTAACAAAAGTAGGTACATAGTAATAATGAGGTCAAGGTAATCAGAATCAATAAAGCTAATTATTAAGGAGGGGGGAGCACATGCCACAAACACAAAATAATATTATTGAATAAGCACACTTATTTAATATAATTAAGCAAATAACACTTCAACATATCTAACGGTGACATGTGTGAATTGTGTTAAACGGTACCAGTATGTGCTTATTCTATAATATTGTCTTGTGTTTGTGATAATGTCTATCAAGAACAATTTTTCTCTTCTACTTGCACCATGTTCATTTCAATATACAATCTGTGGTTTATAATGTCCCTTTTGTAAAATACAATTAATACACTTAAAGCTAGATATATCAATTTTGAATAATTTTATAATTAATACTAAAATGAATACAAGACTTGTTTGTTTTAAATTAATTTCTTCAAATTATTTGATTGAAAATTTAGAAATTACTTTTGTTGAAATCAAAAGTTTACATGATTAGGTGGTTCTTCAGTCTGGAATATTTTACAACAACCTTTTTTCTAGAAATGCTGTAGGAGTTGAAAGAAAAGAATATCAATGTTAAGCAACTCTCCAGACATTTTAATATAGAGAGAATATAAATCAGTATAAACTGTCAGTATCCAGTCAGAATATCTCATCAACTACACTCAATATCTAGTTTCTATCACATTCTACCCAGTTATTTCCCATTGGAATTTATCCAGAAACTTTTCTTTCATTACAAGATTCCAATACCAGGAATCTTTCTCGGATTGTAAGAATTTGACAGGCTTTTAGAACAATTACTGGGCAATTTGATTAAAATGAAGTTCTATATGTTTCTTTAGTTTCATTTCCAACTTAAGTTTACTATAAATTTTGTCGTTTAATAAATATCAATATCAGGAAACAAAAGAAGCTCTATATATTTCTTCAGTTTTAATTTCTAACTGAAGTATTAGAAATATTTTAATCATAATCAAATAGAAATTCCAATTATAACATTAAGCAATCTAAATTCCCCAAAAAACTTTGCTCTACATATTACATTGCCTGCTGGATATTGTTCAAAACCATTTAGAAACTTTTTCAAAAACTTTAGCAGAGATTTAGATTAAAACTTTTTATAAGATTATTAAATGGTTGAATATATTGTACTGTTGCATGAATGAAGTTTTATCAAAACACTTGGTGTTAGAGTGAGATGAGAATAGTATTCTCGAAAAAGCACTGGCTATGAAGTAAGAAACAAAATCAAAGGATGAAATAGTTAGCATAAACAATTCACACTAAGTTTTTAAAATAGTCTATTAAGTTAACTGTGAGGGTTTTCAGGAATAATTCAGTTTTTTCATCCCAAAATACTCTCCTCAATTTTGAGATTGAGACACTTTGATGTCATTCTATTGCAAGAAGATTATCTTCAAATTTAGCTCTCAAAAGTATTTTTCATTTTTTCCATTAAAATTCATCACAGGTCAAAATTAAAGTTTAAAGAATGTAATTTACAATTTTTGCAATCCAATTTTCAATATTCCTAAAATAATTTAACTGTCTTTGAAGTCTAAAGAAATCTATGTTTAAAGTAATCTAATATGTGATTCTTGAAATGTTTAAATTGATTAACTTGTAAGAACTAAGATTTTAGATTGACTGTTTTAATTAAATTTCAAGTTAAAGTTAAAAAAATCAATCTAAGTTAATCCCCCGGACTAGTTTATTGGCTGCAGGGCTGATAACCAATCTTTAACATTTTATTTTTCATTTATTTCCCTAAGGAAATAATATTGACTAAAATTACTGTAAGATAATATGACTTCATTGAAAAGAGTTCTCAAAAAGATACAATCTCAAGAGAATGTTACATAGAAAATGATTTTTTCCTATCATGCCGTTACGTTTTTTGTTGTTGTGCTATTTCATGAAATGGGAATAAGGAACTGGTTAATCAAAGAAAATAATTTGTTATTAATTTTTAATATATTCTTGACCCTAAATATCAAAATTTCAATTTCTTTTTTGATATCCACAAGAATAATGTTACTGTTAGCTTGTGTTGACTGAATCATAGTCAAGGACTGGTGGATTCAATTTATAACCATGAGCAGTCCACTATTTTATATAAGTAATATACGAAGCAAGAGACTCAATAGAGACCTTCCAGAGTCAGAATTCTTTCTCAAAATAAAATAACCTGTCTAATTTTATTTTGTTTTCAATTGAACACTTGGAAAGTATGAGTGCTTTTTTACCAATTAGAACTGTGAAATTATAATGTCCAGAAAATCAAAATAATCTATACTTCAATCTAGAATGAGTGTATCAGAAGTAAAAAGTGAGATTTCATAAGATAATGATCTAAAGAAAGTTCTTCAACTATCACTTCAATGGACTCCAATGATGATGATGACTGACAGAGGAGAGATAAAATTAATGAAGAAGTCAATGATCACTTCAATCAAATTTAATGATTTATTTTTTTTACATATCTTCAATATTCTGATATCTCTTATAGTAATCATCAGTTTAAAATCAATATAGTTTCAGAATACTTTTACTTCTTTTGAAAATCATCACAGAATTACCAGCACTTTAATTTAAAACAGAAGAATTTAATTTTGTCACAAGATAAAGGAGTTGATCTTCATGCCACCTGATGTACATTAGACATTCTTAAGTTAAACAATATAGATAAGGGACTTGAGGATTTATCTTATAGGAAAATATAGAGCAAGAAGCAACAAGCAATTCAAAATGTATATTGGAAACTATGTGCATTCATCAAATGAATGGCAGTTATACTTTTTGCATCTGATTCACATGGAACCTTAAATACTTTCAGTTCTCAAACCCTTTAAACTGTCTTTCAGTAAAACAGGTTTGTATTTTGAATCAATTTTGCATTCAGCCTTAAGATGAACCTTGTCAATTGCCAAAAGGTTTGCTAAGGCACTTCAAATCTCTCTTTTTCCCTCCCACACAGCTGACATTTTCAAAATCAGTCTGATCTCTAATCCACAGTTTTTGTTAAGAGAAATATAATTGAGAAAGTGGTAAAATCAATAAGGTAAGAGAGTATTGAATGTGATAGAAATAAAACTACAGTGATCAGTGGTAATAATCTCTTAGTCAGAATCTTTAAAACTATATGATTATATTTATACTGTAAACTACCACATTAATAGAGATGAGTTTAAAATCACAATAACTGTACTTTTACTTTAACTGAATAAGTCAATTAGACACAGCATATTACTCCTATCATTATGGTATTAATTTGAATCCATAGTCTATCAATATTGGTTGATAAGTTGAAAATTTCTTATCAAGTGCTTGGAAGCATGATAAATCTCATCTGTACTGTCAGTTAAATTAATAAGTAATATTCCTTATATAAACTGTTTGCTGTACCTATGAGTAAATACTGTTACAACCTTGCATGTATTGATTCAAAACTGACTAAGAAATTGCATGGCACATCTTTCTGATATCTATGTTGATCAAAGTCCATGTTAAGTGAGTTTAGGGTGTTGACTGGTCTATTTCATGTTATGAAAATATGGAATTATTATCTGAAAAACTGATTTCTTTAAAATGGTTGAGTATTTTATGAAGATTTGGAGTCCTTCCTTCAGTTTCAAATTGATTTTATATCCTTAAGATTTTTTGTAATGTTTTGACAGCACTTCAAATATGTCATGAAAATTTGATATTTCAAACCTTCAACATAACATTAAAAAAAGATGAATGGATCCGTCTTGACATATCAGAAGACAATTATAATGCGAAGAATCTAATGTTTTGGTTTTTTGTATTTTTGTTTATTCGTTTTGGGATCAAACTAATTGGAATTTTCTAAAAAGATACACATTATTCTCTTCATTATGGAATAAACTTTCTAACAGGATGAAGATTGTCAACTTTACATAATAAACGGCTAAATAATCATATTTCAATCAGGGAAGATTTTTCTACTCAATTAAAATGTAACAAATTATTGCGTTTATTTTCATTTCTACATTGCTCAAATATAAAGTAATAACAATTGTCTGCATTCTGGACACAAAAGTAATTAATTAATTAACTATTGTGTTGAGCAACAGTTGAAACAACCTACAGATTTCACTGTCTCGTTTTATTATCATCCAGCCAGAAACACAGCGTCATGTGACCTCAGGGAATTCCCTTGACAATTTGTTGACAAATACCGCTTGCGAATTATTTTTTTTAGTTTTATGATTCAGTATCCCTTTTATTATTGCTTTCTAAAGCTACACTAACCCAGCTCAGCGAAAACTGTCATTGCCATGCTTTTGTTTAGACTTTCGCCATGTGTAAAGACGTAAATTGACCAGGAATGAATAAATAACTTTTACTACATCGCTAATATTTCAAGTACCAAAAGATGAAGGTGGAAAAACTTCCACAAGCGCATTTTTTCTTTACATTTGTGAATACAACAGAGCAACAGACCTGTACTGATGTGATATTTAATAACAATGGTTGTATAGCACAGAACTTTGTACTTCTATTGAACACATTATCAACATCAATCAAAACCTTGTAAGATATTCTACTTTCAATTTAGACCTGTTTACATCAGAATGCTATAAAGTGTTCCATCTGGTCTAGACCTGGGCGCTATAAAATCGGGATGGAATGGCAAGAAATTCTGTTAAAGAAGATATCTCCATTCCTAAATCTTATTTTAGATTTTTTCTACATAAATAGGTCAATATGAAATTTTAGAAGTTAAAAGATTAACCTACCTTTGGTCGAGTGTCAACAACGAACATATATTTTGAATTAGGGTTAGACTTTAATACAGCTTGTAACATTTGTTCATCTTCCACACACCTAGCACTGAAACCTGATAGTGGTTGACTACATCTTGATATAGACGCCTACAAATAATACAAAATAAACTTATTTCATTGAAAATATATATCTTCATATCAGTTTAGCTGAGCACAGATGGCTAATGCAAAACAAACATAAGCAGTCTTCTTTTAATGTAACTGAAATCATACAGAATTGTATACAGAAAGGTAAAATATAATGTTTTTGACAAGACAATAATAGCATTGTTCCACTTATACTATGTAATTGTATATCCCTCTTAAATGCTCATGATACTTCAGTAACCAGTACAAGAGTACTGAAACATAACAGACACATCTATTTGATATATTCAACGAGTCTCTTTGTTAGATTAATCTCTAGTGTATTCTTGTCACTCAATAATAAGAAAAACCCAAACGCCATAATCCGAAATGCAGAACTAAACCCAAATCCCAGTTTTCAATACATTGGAAGCAGCTTATGGACTTTTTATATAAGTATATTAATTATAAATGAGAATGTATTTCAAAATGAAGAATAGTTCTGCTATAATTTCTATATAATCTAAAACTAACGTTTCGAACTTGTCTGCAAAATGTAGACATGAGAATAAGTTCTACTTGTCCAACTTGAGAAAGGATGCAGACTGAAAATAGGTCAGTTGTCTGAAGATCTGAGTAACAACACTATTCAAGTTCTGTTTTAATATTTCTAATCTATATTTGAGATACATATCAGAAAAAGTAAGCTTGTGCTGTCATGGTAGTGTCACCCACCACAGTCATTATCTTTCTTCAAACTAAACTTCTAATTTCCTAACAAAAACTACTTTAATTCTTGATAAATAAAACAAGTTTAAAACTGATCAAATATTGCGTGAGATAGCCCATCATCTAAAAAACTGTTTTTGCATTATTCTGCATGTCAAATTGACTTCACTGTTTAAAACAGAACGCAAAGATTAAATTTTCATGAATTTTCTCAACTGGAATAAAAATAAATTGGTATGTGGCTTAAATAATTCATATAAGTTAGTGCTTAACTATCAAATATTTCTGGTAAATAATTCAAGATATTTCTCCAATGACTCCTTCCTAATAATCAAAAGTTTTTATAGTAGTATAAGCTTCTCATTCTTTAATTGCCAGCGAGTTAGGAATTTTGTAAGGAATATAGACTGATTCAGGGGTCATAATGATTGATTTGTGGTTTATATCTACATACTATTAAAGGGTAAATACCTGATTTTCTCTGTGTAAGTATGAAAGAGCTGGTAACCGGCCACGACTTCTAAATTTAGAACTACCCATTATTACAGGTGTTGATGCTACTGCTGGTACAAATATATACTTAGAATATGTATCACATAACTGAAAAATAACAAGATGAATCAGCATCAGGACAGAATTATTAAAAAAGTAAGTCAGACAATGCTCATTAATGTTAGAAATATTTTACTATTAGGTCATTTTGAACCTTTATACATTCATCCAAAAAGAGAGGTCAATTGTAGGCATATGAATATTGTAAGACAAATACTGAAAATTTCTTGTTTTTCAGACAAAACCAAGGAACAAAATCTAGGACCTATGGAAGACAGTTTAAAGGGACAGGTCTGACAAACAATAGTCTCCGAAACCGGAATTTCCTTTAAGCTCATCTAATAGTAATCATCAGTAATAGTGTAATAGTGTTCATAGCTAAATGTAGAAATTTGACCTTTTAACTTTATATATAATATTAGAGAAAAGACACATAGAAATAAAAAGTGAATTTCCCAGTTTGAGATATTTTTGAAGGAATTATACAATATCCGTACATTTCTAGTACCTCTGAAGATGATAAACATATATTCAAGATCCAAATCAACCCTAAAAATGCTGAACATGTCCCTTCTCAATTAAAAAATCTAAACTTGATGAGAAAAACTATCAGGTTGTACTATTATAGAAACAAAAAAAACAACAGCCAACAAGATAAGAAATGAACTTGTATTCAGACTTAATGCATGATTTATATATTTGTTTTCTAGAAAAGTTCTAATATTCCACCCACACATTCTACTGCAAGTCTGATTATATCAAGAAAAGTAATATCCTGTCTTATTGTTCCAAATGGCAAATTATTCCAGCATTATATAAGAAAAATCTCTATAAAGAGACTGGAGTTTAGGAAAATTCATGGTGTTTTGACAGTTGTATATATTTATGTTTGTCTATAATGGTAATGTACCATATATGATAGCCAGTTTTTTTTAGAATTACAAACTGGTTAGTACTTCAATATTCATATTTGTAATTTACAACCTTCACTACCGGCCTCTCAAGCTCAAGACAAAATCTCTGTTGCTCTGTCTCTGTTATTACTACCACAAATACCACAGATAAATATTCTGCTATCAAAAACTAGCTATTACTACCACAAATAAATATTCTACTATTAGAAACTAGTTATTACTACCACAAATAGATATTCTACTATTAGAAACTAGTTATTACTACCACAAATAAATATTCTACTATCAAAAACTAGTTATTACTACCACAAATAAATATTCTACTATTATAAACTAGTTATTACTACCACAAATAAATATTCTACTATCAAAAACTAGTTATTACTACCACAAATAGATATTCTACTATTAGAAACTAGTTATTACTACCACAAATAAATATTCTACTATCAAAAACTAGTTATTACTACCACAAATAAATATTCTACTATTATAAACTAGTTATTACTACCACAAATAAATATTCTACTATCAAAAACTAGTTATTACTACCACAAATAAATATTCTACTATTAGAAACTAGTTATTACTACCACAATTAGATATTCTACAATCAAAAACTAGTTATTACTACCACAAATAAATATTCTACTATCAAAAACTAGTTATTACTACCACAAATAAATATTCTACTATTATAAACTAGTTATTACTACCACTAATAAATATTCTACTATTATAAACTAGTTATTACTACCACTAATAAATATTCTACTATTAGAAAATACTTATTACTGTCATTGATAGTTATAATTTACATTTTAAACTAATTAAATTTGTCAAGTCCAAATAGACTGGCAGAGACAGTCTTCTTCACTGCCACCGTGTGACTCACATCTATAATTTACCAGTTGAACTGTATCATTCTTTTTCAAGGCTTATATAAGAATTTTGACGCAATATAATTTAGAGATCATTTTCACTGAAAAAATGTTAAAGTCTTTGGCAAACAGACAGTGGACAAGTAAGACTAGAGATCAAAATCTGTGTGAAAATTTCAGAATCACTGTCTCTTGATTTAATGATCAAAAAGGAATCATTGATTTTCAACGGTTGACTTCTTAATTCAAGTAAGCTTATTTAATTCTCATTAAAAATTCTTTGATGAAATAAGATTGCTAACATTTCTGATGTCACAGTGTTCAGGCCCCCGTTTCACTAAACTTGCAAAGTCCAAAATCTTGTCTAACTTAAAAAATAATCGAAAATTGCATTTCACTAATATTCTTACGCTAAGAAACTCTTGTAATTTTGTGCGTAACCTACGACAGCTATACCCTGTCGTAACTTTTTTTTGTAACTCAAGAAATACTTCAGGATAGATGAAACTTGCCATTTTCTGTCGTGAGAACTCATTAATGTCAACACATTGAATGTTTTTCACATTTTTCCTACATAATTCGCCTTTTTTTTTTCATTTTGACCTTTCAATTTTTTGACTGTGAATCATAAGATAAAATGATGTCGTAAATGTCAAGGTGAAGACATTTCACGCTTCAAATCTTACAACCTCTATTTGTGGAAAAATTCTCTGATTTTCACGACTAAAGACCCTTTAAAAGTATTTAGGGGACTTATAAGTCTTATGAAATATATTTCTCTTCTGTAAATTGATGAAAGATGTAAATTCAACGTGTGTGAAGCTTTCATAGCTAAGATCTTTGCATCGTTAGTTGTTAGTAAAACACGAGTAACAATTTGGTTAAGATAATTTTATTGAATTTTATTTTTATAATAGAAATATTATGACGTAAACTTACGCACTTTATTGAAACGAGGGCCTGGTGATTTGAAGATGGTCAAGCTGACCTCCTATTGAGAACTACTTCTCATATCATGAAAATTTGCTATAAAACAAATATTATTGAATTTCTCAGAGCTCAAGGTAATTACTTAAAAGAAGTGATTAGGAAAATGAAGTTCAAATTAATATTAAAATCAATTTGATTAACAATCTTTAAAGCCAGGAATAGAAAATTATTGATTGAATACCACTAATACTGTATAGGTTTTAACAAAACACAAACTGATCTATGGACAGGCAGTTGGAAGCTCAACTCAATCGAAAATGAGTGATGTGTCAAATGAGCATCCCTTTAACAAGCATTGAATACATGTAATTTTTTTAAATTTTCTCCCTTTAAATCATATCGAAATGGAATTTTTGTCTTCACAATATCTTCTGGGTTTCTTTTACTATAATTTCATGTCTGAAACCGAGTCCTATACAATATACATCATTAGCCAGCATCAGATTGATCACTTACCTCATATTCTAGGTTAAGATTGGACATGACCCAATTTTTATTGGGAGCACCCATTCTTAAATATTCAGATTGTAGATCAAAATGGCTCCAACCAAATGATTTTGGCATACTGTCTTGTGTAGAAAATTGGAATGCATAGAGATTTTCAATATCATCTGAAATATGTCAAAATATATTTGTAATTGTATAGTTAATTTGAAGTTACAAAAATATCATTGTCAGTGGTCTCATCTCATGCTTCTAACAACTGTTTCAGATATAAAATCCTCATCAGGACAACTGGTTTGAAAAAGGGTAATCATTTCTTGTATCAGAGCATATCAATCATATGAGCAAACTTAGTGGACTTATCTTACTTTTCTGCACCTATTTGGGCTAATGAAGACAAACAAATGCAGTGTGCAATGAGGGAAATTTTGACTGGACATTAGCCTGCTCTTCTTTTATTTCCAGCTGTTGATGAATCTTTAATGTTAAATCCCTGTAGAACAGAGTCAAGAACAACCATATTCTATTGTCTGCAGACTGGTTATGGTAATTGTAATAAGTTAAAGAGACATGCACTGATAACCATTATTTTCTGTTATAAATCAAATTATTAACATTACTGATAATAAATATTAAATTGTACAATCAGACAACCAAATCTCTTCATCAACAGTAAATAGAACAACAATTTTAATTGAAATAATACTGAGTATCAGTAAGAATCATCAACAAATTGATAATTGTATCAATATAACATGAAATATAACATGAATTGTTTATTAACATTGTATATGAAGCACTCTACCATACCAGATAATGATGTAATTATATTATAATTGAATATAAAAACAACTTCTGACATTTACTATGATCAATATAATGTACTTTTGTAACTTCTATTGAACATATCAAAACCTTAACTAAAGTTAGATAGATAGTGAAGTCCTACAGACTGTGAATGGCAACATCATGCTGTGTGCAATGATGCAATTATTGTCAATAAGGCAGCATTCATCTAATCTACCTTTATTCAAAATTTTGATAAACTGTCAAGAGATCTCCAACATATACAGCCTATATAAGAACATAAGGTCTCAGTAAAGTGTCTCATCCAGACAACTTGAATTTCCATGTCAGTTCCTTTGACATGCATCATTAACACAGTGTAACAAAACGAAATGAAATGAATGGAGTTTTACGTCCTACTTTTCTGCACCATGTGGGCTAATGAAGACGGGCGACGCCATGCAGGGTGCAATGAGGGAAATTTTGCCAGGACAGCGGCATAAGCCTGCTCTTTTTCAATTTCCAACTGTCGAGGGATCTTTAAAGTGCACAGCCTGTAGCACACGGGACTCGGTTTATTGTCCCATCCGAACGACTAGACGCTTTTTCCATGTCAGCCCCTCTTACCTGCATCACTGACAGGGGGAAACCGGGTTGAAAAATCCGAAGGTATTATCTCGACCTATGCCAGGATTGAACCCTGGATCTTCAGGTTAGCGAGCAAGCGTCTAACTCACTGAGCCACCGCGGCTCCCTGACACAGTCTAACAGGGAAGACAGGTTGTAGACTCTTTATACCATTTGCTGGGACAAAAAACTTTAGCAATGGGTTAGAGAGTCAGTATTTAATTCAGTGTATATACCCAGTTAGTTTAACAGACTGTTTAATATCCTGATAGTTAATAAAAGTAGGATGGTTGGAATATAAAGAGTTACCTGGTTTTGACAATTCCATTAATGATGTATAAATATCATGGCTGTCTCGTTCTCTGTGTATCAGGAAGGTGATATTCATGAAATTTTTACATCGTATTTGTATAGGACATCCTGCCGTAGTGATTGCCAGTTTTTCAACACTAGACATATGGGAATGAAGGATCTGAAGAAAGAAAGCATTAGTTAATCAATGATTGTAAAAAATTCATAAGTATTGTCTCATATACAGAGTGTTCATTCAACTTTGTAAAGCTGATCTACAACTTTAATTGTATAGCTAATGGAGTAAAAGTACCAGATCTGTTACCAATTTACACATATCACTTTGATTGACCCATCTTGATTGATTTTCTATAATAGAACATTTTCATTGTTGGAAACTTAAGCAGCTTTTGATGAAAAGGAGGGGATGGGGGGAGTGGTAATTCACATGTCTTCAGATCCAGACAAACTTATCAACTAACAACCAGGACTAACTGAATGGTTAGAGATTCTGATGGCTTGCTCCAATCCACTTATTGCCAGACAGCAGCTTGCAGACACAAGTTCTCTCAGATTAAATAAGTCCAGGAATTGATTAGATGTTTCAGGATGCCACCAGTTACTAGAACAGTACATGTACAGAGTTGTAAATTCAATTGCTCTCACAATGATAATTTACTTCCTGAGACAAGCATTAACAATTTAAGGTATAGGTATAGATGTATAGTCACATAAAGATATTTGTTCTACATATGCCTGAAGCCAATACATTTTTTTCCTTTTCCAAATCTGAATATCAAACATATCCCATCCCACGCAATAGGAAATTCCAAAAGTCAACAGACAATCACAAATTCTAGATAAGCTAATAGGAAAAATACACGATAATAGCATTACAATAATGCTAACAAAATGAAATCTGGAGCTCCAGGGTTTCAAATTATCAAGAAATCACAGTGATTAATATATGGTATTTAACAAGTCAACTGAAGACCACAAATTACTGATTAAAACTCTTTATGAAGTCATACAATGAAGAACACAATTTTTTATGTTACACTTGTCAACCTCCCTTCCAGTCTTGTACAAAATCATTCTTTAACTGTATTTAACCATGTAAAGAAATATTATTAAACCAACTAGTTACTTGGAAGTGCCAAAGATATGTTGAGCTGCAACACTCAGTCAGAGTGTCCCTAACATCATGGAATAAGCACACTTCTTTAATAAAATTAAAATAATGCAAATAATGTAAAGTTTATTAAATAAACGTGCTTGTTCCATAATATATTGTCTTTTGTTTGTGATATATGTTACATTATTACATAATATTTACATTTCTACTATCACTCCCTTCAATAAACCTGTTTGTCTTGTCACATGATAAACCAGTGTTTATTTCCCCATGACGATAACAAGATCCACATTCATTCCTTAAATGACTGCATCAAAATTATTCCTTGATAACCAAATATGTGATCTTACCCAACACTCTTTCTTGCCATCATTATCAATAAATATAAGATGTGTAGTGGTGAGATATAAGGTACCTGTACAGGGTTTTCTAATGTTGAATCTGTCTAATAACTTGACATTCTCTACCTGAAAATACACAATATAACATATCATTAAACTCAAATGTTAACTTATAATCATCAGTCTTGACATTTCAGTAGTATAATATAATACTATGTTATGGTATTTTAGATGACAGATGATTCTAAGAATCTAATGTCACATTACGTTTATGTCAATATATTAACTGTTATATTACACACAAACAACAACAGTTTCCAGTGAGAATTAAATATATCACCCTTTTCTAGCATTATACATGTTTATGACTTCTATTTGAATCATTCCAATTCGCTCTCAGATGTCTGTGATTCCTGTTATTAGAGAAACTCTAAACCTGCTCCTAATAATTTTCAAGGGATTTTCAGATAGCTACATCATGCAACACTTATTTTTAGTGGAGTTGCAAGATTAACAGCTGTCTGACTATAAATTGGAATGGTGCAAATCAATGCTGTTAGTGTACTTGATACATACTAAAAGCTTAGAAAACCTTTTACAATTTTTTAATACAGAAAAGTGACAACAATTATCCCATCTATCATCCACTTTTAGAATCAATCATTGTATTTTACTGATTTATTCCCCAAGCAAGTTGTAATTGGTAAAACCAGCTGTAGCAGATGTGAGTTTAATTGTTGCTGGCCTGACTCTAAATTCTGATAAATGAGAAACATGCAAGATCTGAATGTTAATTCTATGATATATTGATTAACTAGTTTGACAAGACTTTGATGCCAAGTTTCTTTTCCTTCCTATTGCGGAATAAATCTTCAAAGCAATCGAAAAAAGATTTGAAGTATTCAATTTAGGATTAACTTTAACATCGCTTTTCTTTTTTAATTTTATTTTTTTTAAGTGAACCTTGAATTTATCAATACAAAAATCTTATACTCGTGATGAATCAATTCATGTGAATTCAATACTTTCTCCAATCAAAATACCATGTTTTTCAAATAGCAATTGTAAATCTCTTGGTAATGTTCTAATGAGAGACAATATTTCATATTTTCAACCATTATATTGACAATAATTGTGGCTCGTTAACACAATTTCTATAAAACACCCAATCTATATGCAGCAAAACAAATGTGAATTTGGAGACATTACTGTTTATATTTGGAATATAATTTAATAGAATCAATTTCAAGTCTGTTACTTGACTTTATGAATAATTCATGAATCTTCTAAGACGATCACTTCAAATTTTTTTCCTGATTACTTGATCTTCAGCCATTATCTGTTCAGTTTAAATAATCTTTCACACAGCTTCCATGATTCCTACCTGAGGATCATTTAGTATTGCGTAGTAACCTTGAAATAACAATAATTGTCAAGGACATTGGCTACAAGTTCAAATTAAGCTTCTTAAGTTTTGTTTACTCTAATTACTCCTGGTTCCTTATTTTGCAAAAAGAACCATACACTGTTTGACAAGTTATATTGTTATTTTATAAGATGCTGTTTCTTTGTGATAATACAAAAACATTTTAATTGCAAACTAACACTTAAATTTGTAAAATCAATAATTTTATTGTCAATGAGCCAAGATATTTCGTGTAGACTTTGAAACATTGTTTCAATTTTCTTTCCATGGGTAGCAGATCCTTCTCTAAAATTAAAATAGCCATCCTGAATCATTCAAGATGAAATGAATAACCAAGTCAACTGTTCATGGGAAAAGAAAGGGCTCTAAGTGCACTGACAAGATAGCATGTCTGACTGATCAAAGCCAAATTGACAAGGGTCACTCTTACATCACCCTAACTTTAAAAATGGGCGCAAGCTAGGGCCTAATAATTTCAGCTCCATACCTTGATATTAACTAACTAAAACAAAAGTCTGTTAATGCCAATAGGCAGCACAATAAACTACAATCAGATATATAATAGAGATATCTTGTAATATTATAATGTTGTCCCACAGGTAATAAATATCTACAAAACTCTATAGTCAATACAATAAAAGCGTTTTAACTTCAATTTTATTGTACAAGAGAGAGCTGTGTCTTCTTTTGAGTTTCTATTAATGATCTTTTAGTTTTAAACTAAAATAAAAAAAAAAAAAGCACAAAAATAACAAAATTCTTAACTATAAGGTAACTTTTAAATCACTAACTGCAGACTATAAAGAAAAGTTCTTATATCTGGAGAGAATTCCATCGAACAGGAGATGATAATAAATGGCTAACTTAGTCTTCTATCAGTTCTGTAGCAAGGTTCATCAACTATGGATGTCCTTGGACAATAGTTTGGTTTCTGATTGAAATATCTCAGTAAAGAATATAATATGTAATAGTATGTAAAAGTGTACCAGTTATTGTAAGCTAGTGATCAATAGTTATTCTGGTCTAAAATCAATCAAATACTACCAGTTAACATTAGATTCTCTAGGTTAACTATAATTCACTATCAAACATTCTATTTTTCCTTTCACACTGTTCAGACCAGAAATGTACTCTAGTCTGAGCAAAGAAAAACTTCTCAATCCCTAACCTAGCTTGCTGCATTTCTTTTTCAAAAATTACCATTTTATATTTTCTTATATTTATGGACATATTCCAATTTTTCTATAACTTATCTTATTTAAGCTTGCTTCATTTGTCTGTTTCAAAATTGTTGAAAGTTTATTTAAGGAGAACTAAAGATTTTTATCCATGACACGATTCATCAATCCATCTGAACATATCCTAATAGCAGAATGGTACCAGCAAATATTTTAGTGATAGCTATATAGCATATCGATAAATACCACTGTATCCAAGGTGTTCAGTTTCCATAACTCATTATGAGCAGGGTCAGAAATGTCAACTAATGATTAACAATGAGAGAACTATACTGGAACTATTTACTGATACTATCATTGTACTGAATGATTAGAAAATACACCAGTCTGACACTGAGACTGTTGTACTGTAATCAATAACAGACTGGTCATTTAGTTCCATTGATTAATCTGGACACAGTGGAGGACTAGTGATAGAGGGTAGTAATTACCAGTCAACCTGGAAATAATAAAATATCCAGTGTATGTATCTTACAGCCAGTAAGCTTTAAAGCATAAATTCAGCCCAGATGTATGTACCAGTATTATAAAAATACTTTCACAAAAGGGGCATCTTCTCTTCATTTTGGCATGAAGAATAATGTATTTCACGATCAAGACCACAAAAACTCATTGAAAAACCGGTCTAGCCATATAACCATAAATTTCCTCCGTTAATTGTATAGTAGAGGACTCCAAAAACAAGAAATAAAATTTAGTGTTTCAAAATGAGTAAAGAGTCTTCTTATATGGTCTAATAATTTTAATAGATCTGGTCACTCAGGTCCAAGAATAGATTGACTCATTCCCATTACCCTAAACCATGGTTGATTCTTTTTTTAATTAAAAAAATTCTGTATCAGAATATAAGTGATCTTTAATGTTTATTATGAAGAATTTTTATTGGGTTTTTTTTTTTATAATACATAATGAAGAAGTTTGGCCACTTTATCTTGACAATAATTTAACTAGAACCAATTCGACAAAACGAAACTTATCTTCTTGGCGAGTTGAACTGTTATGTAAACCAAGTTACAAAGTTCCAATAACTCAATCTTCAATATACTCAATAGTATCAATACCAAAATATCTAAGTACCGGTACTTCAATGTATACACTACAAAACAATTTACTATCATCAGGGTGGATAGGACTAGAATATCTTGTCACATCCAACAAATGAACAGCAGTAATGAAAGAAGTTATTCAACAGTCTGAAATCCTATTAAGAACAACTGGTACCAATCATAATAAGATTGACCAGACGAAAAGACTAAAACAAATAATAAGAACGTGATCAATATTACAATGACTGGAAGTTGATAAATAATCTTAACATCAATGTGCTAAAACACCAAAATCATCTGCTAATACAACACACTTCAAATTAATTGAAACTAGATTACCTTGCCTAAAGGACTTTTGATGGAGAGAAGATTGGATTGTAATAACAGGACAATTTGTTAAAATTTTAGTGATAATTTGACAGTAGAGAAATGTTCACAAAGCTCAAGATTAATTCATCTTCCTACACTCCCTTCTGATTGATTTATGTGATTTCAAGCCTTTAAAATGTCAATCCTATTAAAATGTAATTATATTAAATAATACTGTGACATGACAAACATCTGCATATTAGATTTATTTAATCGTTACTACCCAACTTGGTTTTTGAGGTTTTTTTTAGAATATTGGTCAACCACCATGCATGGCAATAAATTGCTTCCTGAAGGTTATCATAGGCACCAAACTAGCACTCTACATGTTTTTCACAAATACTCAAGTTATTTTCCATATAAAATATATAGTTTCAATCTTTATTTCAATCCTTCAGAAAGACAAATTATTTAAATCTCAATGCAAAATCGAATAAGTTCTATGGTGAACTGTAGTCAATACATGTATGAAAATTAATCAAACTAACAGGTAGCTGATATGACATCTCTTTCCATGCAATAAGTATATGGATATTTCAACAACCTTTTAGCAATACTAAACTTATAGAATATAATAACCATGACGTCAACAAATATTAAAAGGAAATACATACAATGTTCTATTGTAGTTCTAAGTGAGGATACATTGTATTGTTTCCATTCTAAACTGATGGTAAAAGCATACAGACTCCGAATGTATTGAATAATGGATCATTTTTTTTAATTATTGTATCAATACAGTTTTTTTTTAAATATAATAATTATACCACGATTGTTTTTTCCTATCAACAAGGGACAACTGTAAAGGTTATACTTTATGTCAATAAATTAATACAATGAGACCTATTAATTGTGGAAATTACTAAAATCATCTCTAATGGTGCTTTATTTTTATGAATTGAAAGGTGTGAACATCAGTTATCTTTTTTTTCTCATTCTCTTTTATATTGAGAATATATTTTAGAAATTTTCTACAATAATAAAATATTCTCACTGTTAAAATATTGATCAATACATCAATTGTAGAGCGATACAGAAATATTAAAACTGAACTTGGATCATGTTGTTACTCAG